GGTTCCATAGTAGATCTGATGTAAATGAGTTTCATATTAACTATTTTTATATAGGGATAGTTCTATATATCACTTAACAAGTGAGACATTATAAAACTAATTGTGATGATAATAACTAAATTTTGATCCCTGAAATTCTTGGCAAAACCAATGTTCACTTTGTCTCCACATAATATTTTTTTTAAAAGATCTTCAAGCCAATAAATAAAATTTGTTTTTTTTAGAGAGTGATCACAAGTACACATCCAAAAACCCGTTCAAGTTTTCAATGATCCAAATTAGGCAACTTTTTGCATACGAGTTTAGTCCCAATGTTTCAATTTGGCCTTTCAAACATAGTAAACATAGTAATTTAGCTTGAACTTTAAAATGGTATATCTCAGGTTCTATGTAACTGAATTGAAAAATCCAATCGTCAGTTTATAGCTTAGCTTAAAGATAAACAAAACAATGATTAGATTTTTCACTATACTAAAATAATCGAACCGTTACACCATTAAATCGCATTAGCCATTATCAGTTAATAGAATGCACGTCCCTGATAACCTGGACATCAAAAAAATTTTTTTGCGGTCAATTCGTTTTTTAAAATGCCAACAGTATTATCAAAATTAAAAGATTTAGTTATTTTAAAATCCAATTCTAGTTCCATATCACAAATACAAAGAATAGTAAAAATAGTATTAGAAATATATATTAATAATAGAACTGTTCTTGGAAGATTTTTATGGATTTTCGCAGTTTATATTTTGTACATTAGAAGAGGATCAAAGAAGAAAACCGATCATGATTCAACAACAAAAACATCGTCAGGTACAAAACCGGGGCCAAAAAGAGTTGCAGTAAGTTTCCTTTGAATTTATCTAAATTTTTCTTGTCACTAATTAATAAATTTGAATTTATATTTTACATTTTTTTTTTTATGTACATTAGGTTAATGCTGCTTTCTTTGCCAGTTTAAAAAAACTATTAAAAATTGTAATTCCTGGGTTAAGATCCAAAGAATTCTGGCTTTTAGCTACTCATTCTGGCTTTTTGGGTAACTTATAAAAATTTTTTTGGTAATAAATTTATATAAATTATATGCATTATTAAATATTGAATGGTTTAATTAGTCTTTAGAACTATATTATCAGTTTACGTTGCAATTTTAGATGGTAGAGTTGTTAATGCATTGGTATTTTTACTTTACTAAGAATAATAAAATTTTTTATTATCTATTGTTTTAATTATCAATTAATTTGTTATTTCATTTAGGTAAGGAAAAATGCTAAAGATTTCTTGACTGGAATTATATGGTGGATGATAGTCGCAATACCTGCAACTTATACTAATAGCATGGTAATATTATATATATGTATATTAGAAATAATTAGAAATATATTTATTAATTATATAATTTTTACTACGTTATTTAGCTTACGTTTATGCAAAGCAAATTGGCTATACAATTCAGGACTCGTCTCACCCATCACATTCATGAGAAATACTTGACTGATATGACTTTTTATACTATTGGAAATCTAGATGATCGTATAAAAAATGCAGATCAGTAAGTAGTAAAATAAATAAATATTAATTTCTCTTTCTTTCTTTTAATAAACATCAATGTTAATATTTATTTTTTATTTTCTATTATTCAATTTTGTCTTATAAAACAACAACAACAATAACAACTAAGATGTATTACAGTTGACACAATGAAATTTTGTAATTCTCTTTCGGAACTTTATTCCAATCTCGCCAAACCAGTCTTGGATGTTGTTATTTATTACTTGGAGTTGGCAAAAAATGTAGGAGGAGAAAGTTTATTTGCATTATCACTTATAGTACATACATCATCAGTAGTGCTGAGACTATTGACGCCGTCATTTGGAGAAATGGTAGCTGAAGAACAAAGACTAGAGGTAAATAAATATGTTGCTGTCGTCATCGTTTATTATTATTGGAGAGAATTTTATTGATCGATTTATTATTTATTAAAAAAATGTATGCATATTGTATAGGGCGAATTTCGATTTACACACTCTAGATTGATTGATAACAATGAAGAGGTTGCATTTTATTCTGGTCATGTGATAGAAAAGGCAATTTTAGATCGGAATTATTTTGCACTTATTAAACATATCAATAGAATATTTCGTAAACGAATTTTCCATGGTATGATGGAAGATTTCATTATTAAATATTTCTGGGGGGCTATGGGATTGGTTCTTTGTTCTGTTCCTGTCTTCTTTAAAGTACCTGGGGTGGAAAAGGGTGATTTAGGTTCCAGAGCAGAAGGTAATTAAATAGATTAATAAATAAATAATGCGTAATTTTTATTTTGGGGAAAAGATCCTTTCTTTAATATACATACAAAAACACACACATATATATTTGATGGTGTGGCGGTGATTTGTGATTAGGATTTATCACTAATCGTAGATTGTTGATGAGTTCTTCTGATGCATTTGGACGTATTATGTACTCATATAAAGAAATCGCCGAGCTTGCAGGATACACCGCTAGAGTAACCTTAACTATTCATTTATTATCATTATGTCAATACTTCTATTTATATAACGATCATACATTTATATTTATATATATAGGTTTCAGAACTTTTAGATGTATTTGAAGATGTTAAAAATGGAAGGTTTGAAAAGAAGTTAGTATCATCAGCTTCAACCGAAGAAAATGCAAGGATTTTAAGTGGTCGTGGAGAAATAGTTGAATCTGAAAATATTGAATTCAAAAATGTACCAATTGTATCACCAAATGGTGATGTTTTACTTAAATCATTAAATTTTTCTATGAAACCTGGAATGCATTTATTAATAGTCGGACCAAATGGTTGTGGGAAAAGTAGTATGTTTAGAATATTAGGTGGTTTATGGCCAGTTTATGGTAAGTAAAAATGTACTCACAAATTTCAAACAAAAGGAAAGGTTATTAAATTTTTTTTAATGGGAAAAATACATAATAATAAAATAGGCGGAAATGTTGATAAACCAAATTCTAAAGATATTTTTTATATTCCACAAAGACCCTATTTGCCAATGGGTACATTACGTGATCAGTAAGTCTATTATTTTGTATTTATCTATATAGATTTTTTAATATATAATGAATAATATAAATATCATTATTATTGTTATTATTATTATCGTAATAATATTAGAGTTATTTATCCACACACGGTAGATATCATGAAAGGACGTAAGTTTAAAATAATATTTTAATTAATTATTTTATTTTAATATACAATGGAATTTATATATTTTTTGAATGATAAATAGGTGGTATCACTGATGATGATCTACAAGATATTCTTAATGTTGTTCAATTAAATAACATTGTTGAAAGAGAAGGAGGATGGGATAGTGAACGAGAATGGAAAGATGCACTTGCTGGTGGTGATAAACAAAGAGTACGTAATTAATTATATCAAAACAACAATATTTATAAAATTAATATATTTGCATTTATATAACCTATTAATTGGGAAACTCAGATTGCACGCTCGCACTACCAAGAAGTAAGAAAAATAATAAATGTTGGTAAAAGAAAACATCATGATGATGCATTATTACCTAATAAAAAGCAAAAATCTTTAAAAGGAAAATAACTACCATTTTCAATTTATACTAAGGATACCGGCTGCAACTTTTGATGATGGTTGCTACCATCTTTGCGTCATATAAAAATGATTGCAACCACTGGTTGCAACCACCTTTACAACCATTTTGTTTCCTTTTTTGGATTGCGACATGGAACACTAATTTATACAGAGGGAAATTTCCTCAATTACTTTTTTATTTTCAATCAAGATCATTTAGTCTCTTTGACTTCAATTTGTGCAGTTAGTTAACCATTCTGTTGATGGCATAAAATGCAATTTTCAATTTTTTAAATATATTTAATTATCTTTGGAGGACTGGGAAATTTCTTTGATTAGTTTCTGTGATTATTTGATAAAACTTTTAGTATTTTCATCATCAATTCTATCCTATTTAACATTAAAAGTCAAACAAATAGATAGATAAATAAGAAATACAAGTTTATGTTATATTATCAAAAAGATAGATAAATTATATTAGTTTACATACTTTTAAAGCTGCAAGATTTTTCAAAGAAACAACAACTAGTGATATGTCTTCTGGGCCAGAAGGAAGAAAATTGGATACATTACAATTAAACCTTCATATAACCATCTTGCACCATAGCAATCGAATTTCATTCCTGATTGTAATTTTGAGAGAATTTAGTTGAAATATTAAATATGAATTTAATAAACAGCATACATACCAATAGCCTGCACAACATACACTTCAAGATCATGGAATTTATCTTGTAAATCAATTGGTATTCCCAAGAATAAATTCACCAACAAATACTTGACCCCATTTTCTAATTTTATTTTGTCTTCATCAGATTTAGATGATACCTTAAGTTTAAGCTCCTTCCAAAACCATTGGATAAGTATGCTTTTACTATTTACCATGCCATCTACTTTATTACCATGTTTACATTTTTCACCAGTCAACTTGGTATAATTTTTTACATTGACAACAGCATTTGATTATATCTCCCCACTAAACAATGAAACATGTATCAGTAATTATATCAATGAAATATAGGTAAATAAATACATCACTGTTCAAAAAATTGTCTCACTTTCTGAATTCTAAGTCTCTTTCAAAAAGAAATAATTTGTCAAATATTTGTGAAATACAAACATATTTAATTCTTGTTCTGACATATTATAGTGTAGTCTAAACATGTTAGCCGAATTGCTTCTCTTAATAAATGATCATTGCCGAATCTGAAATGCTGAAATAGTCTTACATAATTGCCGAAATTAACTTTATTAGTATCTGAAATTGTATCTGAAATTATTTGAACACTTTAGCTCAATAGCCAAAATCCTGGGTGGTTTTTTTGTGTTTATAAATATAAAGAATGTCCTAAATCCGAAATTGCCTGCCGAAATTGATTTTTTCAAAAACCATTTCGGCTAACATGTTTAGTGTAGTCTGCCAGATGAATAAAGTAGATGACTACAAACAATCAAATGTGAAGTTATAAGCATTTGAGTAACTGAATATAAATCATTAATCATAATACTTACAAGCAATTAAAGGTCTCAAAAGCCCATTTTTTCAAATATGTTTCTTGATTAAACTTAATTATATAATTATTTTCTAATGCTTCTTCAAGAAGAAGTAATGTCATCTATAAATTATCAAATTGTATTGTATCAGTTTAAATAAAGGAGATCGAGAAAAATCATAAGAAATAGAATTACATACAATATTTTCTTAGTTTTTTAAATATTCTAGGAATATTTCAAATTCTTTCTTTTTTTCAGGGACCAAATTATCTGATATAAGACAGAGTTTTTTGATTTTTGTACCAATATCATCTATTGTTATATAATCTTTGCTATCACCTGCACTAAACTTTTTGTAATGTTCAATAAAATTATCTGGCAGATATCTATTTGCAAGGGGATCTTGAATATTTAGAATTCCGTAGTCAAGTGAGCAAGTTTGTTTTTTTATTCCCTTATTTTTTTTGCTTAGAAGATTTTTTGAGATGTTTTCTCCATTAAATAACCATTTTCTATTTTGTGATGGTTTTAATTTTAATAACAGCAAAAGTCCATCACACTCATCCTCATTTTTGTCACTATTTGGAAATGATTCTTGATTAATTTTTGTTGATTCTTTTAAGAAACCCTCCCTATTTTTAATAAAAACAAAATTTTATTTATTATATAAGCTGGAATGAGGAACAATCACAACCACCACTACTGTTCTTTAATAATTAACTAGAGTGATGAGTTGCAGTGATCATAACCACCACAATTTAATGATAAATAACACATACTAGTTTCTTGTTTGGGTATCTTGCTTTCTTTTGCTGCTTTCTTTTTTGGCAGTGCCATCTAAAAAAAAAAGATTAAAAAAAGTTAATTGATTGACATACACAAGAAAAATTTTAATTTACATGCATGCATGGTTGTACAAAGAAGCTCCTATTACTATTGTTTGTTGACGCGATTGAATTTTTTTTTTTGGAAAAACAATTTATCACTTACAAGACAAGGAAAGCGCGAACGTTGTCTGGTATGGCTTAGTGATGGGCATAAAAATTATTTTGATAAATGACCAAGTTATTAAGTACTTAATAACTCTATTAGTGACTTATTAAGTGTTAAAAAACACAAACTTGCAGATCTCACAGATCTTTGATGGATGATTGTTTATCACTATTATTTAAGATTCAAATAAATCAGAAGTTCTGCACAAAGGTCTTCACCAACTTCAGAACATTCCAGTTGCAGATGTCTTGTCATGGTTTTATTAATGTCACAAATGCTCAAATTGCAATACTTGTAATGTGACTATTTAGTTTTCTCTTCTTTGGTAAAGTAGCTCCAAATTTCACCTTTTCTTCTCCCCTGTTTCTTATTAAATAATGTAATTAATAATTGTATTAATAATTTCTTGTCCAAATAAGTAAACTAGTCATTAACTAGTCATTAACTAATTTGATTGATTTGACAATTGAATTAATAACTTTTGCTGAGAACATGATAATTAATAAGGGGTTATTAACTAATTAATAACTTGGAGTTATTAAGTGTAGGGTTAAAAATTCCCATCACTAGTATGGCTTGCTCTAAAGAAGACAAGGTGTTGTTTATTGACTCTATTTTTTATTTATCAGTCAGACAAAATGTCACACAATCAACATGTCTATTGTCATAGCTATGTAAAATTTTTGTGAAACAAGTCGATTTTTACTATGGTGCAAGTCACTTAGTCACTGAACTTTTTGTGCTACAACGACAATTTTGAGAAAAAAATTTACCATATCCACCGATTTCTGCAATGTTACACGATTTCAGGCTGATTTTAGGGCACATTTTCGTTGTTTTTGTTTTGTTT